AACAAATGTCTAAATATACAAAAATTACCTCTAAAATTACCTCTTTCTATACTTATTCCTGAAATGCTTAAGATAATATAACCTTGTAACTCTTGATTGCATATTCGTGTTAAGAACAATGCGGTTTGTGGATGCGTTATATAATTAAGCATATAAAGTATTTAATTTAACAGCCTCATTTCCCACAATGGAAAATAAAATGTATTATCGAAGACGTTGGGAGTGGCGGTGATTACAAGGGCATTTAACATTGGCTGTTTGGAGCTGAGCTAATAATGTTCTAGCAGTCATAGCGATGTGCTACCATCCAAGGAATGCGACATGAAATTGCAGTGTAGATGGTGGAGATAAGTGTCAAATGTCATGAAACATAGTTGCGCAGCGCAGCAGGAATTGCACCAGAGTGCACAAAAATGACAGATTCTAATACAGGAATGAGGATAAATGATTACATACATATTCAATCGAGGCCCATCGCCGTGAGATCAAAGTGGTGCGCAGACTTGAAATAACATTACCGCACAGTGTGCAGGAGTTGGTCATTTTGACCGGCTCGGTATGTTTACTGTTAAAATGTATATATAGAGACTCGACTTTCATTTAGTTTATGATAGGTTTAAGGGTTTAGCGTAGCCACTCAAGATGTAGTCCCGACAACGGACAAACTCCAGAAGATGGTTGGCAGCTCAAAGTCGTACAGTTATCCGATAGGACGTATTTATTGACACATGCTTAGAAATTTAGGGAACAAGTGTGGCAGACGACCTCAGGTCGTATCGTTATCTTAAGGTATAAAGATAGTCTTTCTAAAATATCTGGCCACAAAGTGGAGAAGTCAGCGATACCTTCGGACCATTAAGGAATGCCTATCTTTAATTTCCTTTTTTTCTTTTCGTATCAAGATTTATTCAAATTAAAACACACATTTATAAATCTCGAAAGTAAAAGAGCTAATTGGACACAAATTTTACTTGTAATAAAATAATTATTAACTTTCCATTGTCACAGTGACTTAAAGTGTCCAACATTTATTATCGAAAAAGTGATATTGTTGTAAGGAATGAAATTAACAATTAAATGAGATATTAAGAGTTCTAGTTTTTGCATTTCAATAGTATTGCTAATTTTTGAGTGACAGTTATTTGAAAACTAAACTGTGTCTGAATGATTCAGTATGACATACACGTTACGCATTAATATTGAACTAATTTAATATTAATGTTAATAATAAATTAATATTAATTAATATTAACATCTAAATATCTAATAGCTGCCACTTTTCGTTTCTTCGGTAAAACATTTTATTTCTCAACATATCCAATCCTTCACTGGGACGGAATATTCGAGAATCCGATGAGGTAACCGATTTTATTATTTGAAACTTCTTTACAAATTAAATTTCGCGCCGCGTGCCTCTGATGACGCGCCAACCGAATGGATGCGCGAAGATAATAAGTCCACAAGCACTATAGAAAGAGACAAGTTATATCGTTCGTCGGTATGACTTGTTTCACATTTCATGCTCTCGTTCACTCGTTTTTCCTCTTTTTGTTTGACTGTAAGGGCATCACTGTCTTATCAATCGTCAACCAATCACAGCAAAGAAAATGTCTATATTGATCCTCGTTAATGGATCGAGCGGTGGCCTAGAAGTGGGCAGAAGTAGGACTCATCACTGTAGACATTTTCGGGGGATCGTCGATGCGAGGATCCTTCTATGATGCCGGCAAATAGAAACACTACTTATCAGTGTAGTAAATATACGATTGGGGTCACGTCATTTATACTAAAAAATAAGTTGTTCTATATAGGTTGAAATCTTTTTTATCTTATTTATAAGACTTCAAACTATTATTTAAAACAAAACAAAAAGATCGATTTTTTCAAAATTTGTTTTTCATAACTGTTTAGTTCCTTTAAGACCTAGACGAAAATGACAAAATGTACTCTCTCGTCCTCATCTCATTGGTCAGAGTATGTATCCATTCTCGTCTATATAATATTGCAAATATTGGTTTCCAGCGAAATATGAATAATGTCGAGTGCGACCAGTGTAACAATTTGCTTGTGACGTAGGGACGTCCAACGCATCCCCCGAGTGGTCTACAGTGGGAGGTTTGTTGAGGGAAAATTTTGGGGAACTTGCGGGCGCGAAGGACTCCCTATGTTCCAGGTAAATGGTCACATTAAACGAGACACGCAACACGGAATCAGTAATGGGCCATAGGGTGCTACGCCTAAGAGCGTGTAAATTATGTGTTGTTGAATGATGGATCTACTTTTGTACCTTATACCTCATCTGTGATCAAATTGAATATTATTCAGAAATGTTACAACCAGCAATAGTTCTGACATAACTTAGTTTCGCATGATTTCATAGAAAATCTGATATTATTTAAATAATACTTATCGCAATTTCTTTTGGTTTTTAGTAATTTTTAATACATTTTATATGACATTGAATATCACGGCATTTTTAAGAGATAAATATTATCTTAACACATTAAATAATTTATAATTCTTGCACTTTAATGTATTTACAAATAATTGATATGTTTACGAAGAAGCTAACTATGTAATTTTTTGCAGGAAAGCTAAGAATATTACGATCTATTCATGGAGGTATACTTCAAAAGAATATTTAAAAAATTGCAGGGTAATTTACAATTTAATAAGTATTTTAATGCAGTATAATGATAATAATAATAATAATAATAATAATAATTAATAATATCAACTAATAATGTTATTAAATATTTTTTACATGTACATAGTAATGTATTTATAATAATTCGTATTTTATTA